GGACGCACTAAGCTCTGTGCTTACAGTTTTTAGTTGTGTTTTAGGTACTTCAGATGATCGTGGAAAGGCGAAGGATTGATCGTGCACCTCCTCATATTTCATGTGATGATTTCTTGGAAAAACTCTAATGTGAAACCTATTTTGAAAAAAAAATATGTAATAAATGATGGTTTTTGGATTTATGTAAAAGTTTTAAAATTTTCAAAATTTTACGGATGTTACAGTTTGCATCCCTACTCCATCGATTACATAGAGATACAAACTGAGGGGACTTAATAGGATATAGTCTGGAAATACCTATATCCTTCCCAAATATACCGAACCAGCATGTTGCAAAGTCACCTTCCCCATATGTCTTAAAGTTGCCCACTTATATACCGAACCGGCACGAAGACTCGAAAGGAAAAGAAAGACCGACGAAAAAGTACAAAGTGACGTCGAAACAGTCGCAATAGTACATCGAAACCATGAGAATACAGTCTGTATGAGGATGCGTGGCCGACGGATCCTGGCACAGCCATATGAAAGTTGTGTAACAGCATACAAAGTATAACTAGTCGTACCTTCATGCATAATGCCATGCGATAAGATGTCATGATAGGGTAGATATGGGAAGAACTCGTTACCTCTTCCTCCTTCACTATAAATAGGTCATCCGACTCGTCAAGGAGGTACGTACACAGAAGTCATAATCGTCTTACTTGTTTAACTCTCCAACCCTATAATCGATCGATAACATAGCCTTTCGCTAACTTAATCATTGGAGCGTCGTCCGAGATCTCGTCTCGGTCGACTAGCTTACGTTTGTTTGTATTCTTCAGGTCAATCTATTTGCTCGGGTAGAACTAATCCAAGGGTAAAAGATGGAAGACGGCCCGATGGTACATCAACTACCATAGATACAAAGCCCGAACTTTCTCCTTACGGGACGCATAGTGGCTTATTTGACTCTCTATTGGAGTCTTGCTCGATCTTTTTAGTATCTGACTTTCACTCATCTAGATATCTCATATGCGGTTCAAAAAATCTGTCTTTATATGCATGATCCTCATGAACCCACTTTCTTGCCCTAAAGCATATTTTTTGCTATCTATAGGTTACCCTTTCTCATGGTCTTCGTCTTCATTCGTCGCCCGTCGATCGTTTGGTTTTTACTCTGATGCTGATTGGGCCGACTGTTCTTAAACTCGTCGCTTAACCTCTGGATTTTGTATATTTCTCAATGATAACCTTGTCTCTTGCTCCTCGAAACGCCAACATGTAGTTTCTCACTATAGCGTTAAGGTTGAGTACATGGATAGCCAATGTAGTTGTAGAGGTTGCATTGTTGCACAACCTCCTTCTTGAGTTGTCGTGTCCTATAACTCGCACTATGATCGTCTTTTGTGATAATATCAGGGTCATATACTTCGAATTTAACCTTGTTCAACACCAAAGAACCAAACATATAGACATAAATTTATATTTTGTTAAGGAACCTGTTCTGATTGGTCATGTGCATGTCTTGCACTTACCATCAGTTCATCAGTTTGCGGATGTTTTTACAAATGAACTTCCTGCACAATTATTTTTTGACTTTAGAAACAACTTTTCATTCAGGAACCTCCAGCTCAAACTGATGGGGTGTGTTAAAGTATTTTTGTAGTTTTGTATCTTTTTTATATGGTAAATAACTTAAGGTTCCTATTGTAACTTTTTGTATTATATATGTTGAGTAATATGCAATACAACCCTAATATAGATTATTTCTACAATTATGAGTCCCTACTTCTTAGCAGAGATATTTTGGTGAATAAAGGGACAGGCTTGGAGTCGATTATGTGTAGGATGTGCAGTACTCATGTTACAATGTGGTTCCCTATCGGCCATTGATGGGATCTTTATGTTCCTTCCATTGACTCAATTAGAGAATGACTTTTTTGAAAGATTCTATTAGATTGACCCCAACACAACGTTCTTGTTTGGAAGCGGTATCTTTGACGATTTTATAGGTCCTTTGGAGCTTTTAGAATTCGCTTATGTTTGGTATGAAAAAACAATAAAAGGATATTATTTTTGATAGAATCATTTTGCATTCTTTCCTTTGGTTTGTTCATAATAATTCAAAGCTTTCTTTTGGTATGTTCATAATAATTCAAAGCTTAAACTCAATTGGGTTTATTGGTTACAAAACCTCATGTTAGCTATTATCTCCTTGTAATTCTTTTCACGCATTTTCTAGCTTTTATTATTCATAAAATTCAGTCGATCGTTCGATAAAAATAACTTCCACCATCCCATCGGTTGAGATTATATTAAGGTCAATGTTATAGATTTAACATATTGCTTGGAAAATATCTTGACTAAAACAGAAAAGTACAATATTCCATTATGATGATTACAAATGAAAAAATGTAATTCCACTTGCATTGGAAAGGAGTCCCCTAATTTATTTTGTAAAAATAACCTACAAATGGATGTTCACGTAATTGTAGCCTGATTCAGCCTGACCCGGTTTGAATGTCGTCGGTTTTTTTATCGCTTTTTAAAATAAGTTCAACTGTTATATGGTCGTCGTTTCCATTTTTGGTTTTTTTTGTACCCATTTTGCTTCTCTATGTTGTGTATAAATAAGATGAGTTATTTTGGTTTCAACACATCTCAAACAAATGCTTTAATGTTGGATTGGAAAATTTA